TTAGGGCGTTTCCTCTTCCACCCCTCCCTCTTCCCCTTCGGGGAGGGGTTTACCCCTCCCCCTACCCCCTCCCCACTGACCTGGACAGGAGGGGCGGGGAGCGGTCAGAGCGTCCAAGACAGCCTCGGCGAGGAAGCCAAAATCATTGATTTTAGCAGGGTTTTGGCCCCATTTTGGCCTCCTGGGGGGGCAGCGCTAATTAAAGCTCAGCTCTTCTTTGGTAGATCTCCTCCAAGATGGCACAAAGAAGCGCCCAGGAGGCCCCAAGAGGTCCCAAGATGGCCCCAAGATGGCCCCTAAGAGGCCCCCTGAGGCCCCCAGAAGGCCCCCAAGAAGACCCTCAGAGGCCCCAAGAGGCCCCCCCCCGAGGCACCCAAGACCCCGAAGAGCCCCCCAGGATCGCCAAGAGACCCCCAAGACGTCCCAAGAGGCCCCCAAGAATCGCCCAAGAGATACTCCAAGAGGCTCCTAGAGGCATCCAAGAGACCTCTGGCCCTTGTGCTTGCCCTCCTCCTCCTCCTCCTCCTCCTCCTTCCTCCTCTCCTTCCTCCTCCCCTCCTCCTCCTCCTCCTCCTCCTCCTCTGTTCCTCATTCCTGCTCCTACTCCTTCTCTTCCTCCTCCTCTTCCTCTCCTCCTCCTCCTCCTCCTCATCCTCCTCTCCTCCTCCTCCTCCCTCCTCCTCCTCCTCCTCCTCCTCCTCCTCCTCCTCCGTCTTCCCACTCCCTCAACCATCCATCCATCCATCCATCCATCCATCCATCCATCCATCCATCCATCCATCCATCCATCCATCCATCCATCCATCCATCCATCCACCTCCTCCTTCTCCTCCTCACTCCTTTGCACGGTTCGGCCGTCCTCCTCTTTGCTGCCGCACTCCCCTGATCACCTCAACTCGCCTGGGCATCGTTTCGGGATGGGCTGGTGGGGAGAAGCGAAGCGTCTAGAATTGAAGCAGCCTGGTGCGGGATTGCCAGCATTCCAAAACAGGGTGGGGCCCTCAAGGGGGCAGCCGTCGCACTTCGCTGTGCACAGCCCCGTGTCCTTACTTGAAAGAATTCCCGACTGTCGTCGTCCAGCCGGGCGGGGAGGAGAGTGGTATCGGCGACCTTCGGTTCGTGTAGGCCCGTGGCCTCGAGTAGGTACGGTCCCCTAGCTCGCGCGGCGGGTCGGTGCGGGCAGGGCAAGATCCAAGATCCTTGGGGATGCGTCCGATGGGGGGTAATTTGTCGTGTCGGTGGGGGGGGGCCGGGGCTGGGTCCCGAGAAAGCTGGAGGGCCTGGATCCGCTCGTGGGAGAAGTGTCCCCGTGGGGGGTGGGGGGGCCTTGTTTTCCCCCCTTCGGCGGTCCAGCACGGGCCGAAGAGCCACGTGCAGCTCAGCCCGTTGGCGTAAGCCTGGTGGCGGTTCTGTGCCAGGTAGGCTCGTGTGGTGTCGCTCCACCAGGTACCCTCCGCGAACTTGGGCCCAGCAGTGAAGCACAGGTTGCACCGAAACCGCGCCGTCTTCTGGTCAGGGCTGAACCGGGTGCCCCAGGGAGCTCGGTCACTGGGGACGCGGGTCACGCCTGGAAGTGGCGCGGCGGGTGCGCCTTGCTCGGGGGGGCACGGCGAAGGAGAAGCCGCCCCCGAGGAAGGCGAGGTCAGCGGGCTGGTGGGGAAACGTTTTGCTGGTCTGCGGCCGCGCGACAACGGTTTGGCGGCGAAAGGCAATGACCGGGGCGGGCGGCACAAAGCGAATTGGCGACCCCCACCGCCACGTTGGCAGGCCAGATCGCACCGGCACGACAAGCGCGCAGTTGCACATGCACTGAACAAAATACCCGGCATTCACCAGCAGACGCACCTAGGCGCCGCACAGTATACCAAAGTGTACACGCGGCCGCGGGTGCGAGCGCAACGGAGTGACTCGCCCGTGCGGCGCCAAATTCCAAGCAGCCAGCCCGGCTAGCTAAGAAGCACAAACCCGGAAACACTGGTTGGGAGACGCGAAGCGTCAACAATTAAAGCATAGCGTCGGCCACACTACAACGGTCCCTCGTCTGAAGTATTGATTGAGTCGCCACGGCGAAACGCAAGCGCAAGTGCGCAGCAGCCCGATGCCCCGCTGAAGCACACAGGCCCGACTTTAGAGGCTGATGCGCCACCAGGCGGTGAGCGGCAACAGTCGGTATTGCTAAAAATCTCTCGCCCCGATATGTCACAGGAAGCCCGTGCCCTGACAAAGTTTTTTTTATACTGTGCGCCCCGGAGCTTCTTTTCGTGTGCGCCCCGGAGCTTCTTTTCGAGCCCCTCCCCAGTCTACCTGGCGATGCTGTGGACGTGGAAAATTGCCCGACTATGTTGTGAAACCTGGCCGCTGCGTCCAAAAGGTGACGAAACTCCTCGCCAGCTCAGCAGCAGCGGCCCCTCCCCATGTAGGCGACGTCTCTTCTGTCGCATGCTCCTTCTTTTCCCCACTTGACAGCGAGCCGCCCGTGAACCGCAAGGTGTCCCACGGCAGGACACGCGACACGGGCCTTAATCGCCTGCGAGGCCAAAACCACGCTGCTAACTTGCACCACGCGTCTGGCGATCATTCCTCTGCCCCCCCCCTCGGCAATGTGACGATGCACACAGCACGTACGCAATTGATCTTCGAAGGCCAACGGGGGAAAACAACAAAAAACAGTGGACGACATGAGTGATGGGCCGCGCCTTGCTGCCTGTCTCCCGCAAACTACTTGCCATTGACCAAACTCCACTGGTCCGATTGCTTTGCCACGCCTGCCCCGTGACTGTGGGGCGTCTGGGGCTGCCCGCCGCTGTGGAGCCCTTCGGACAGCAGTGGCAGGACCGACTCTTGCCGCCGAGGGTTGGCAGCTTCCCTGGTTCCACGTCCCAAGTTCCCCCCTCGCCCCCCCCATCGCCCTACCCCGTCCGCCTGTCCACCTGCATCGGGGGCCCCCCTGGGCCGCGGGTGCTGCCGGGGTCTCCCCGTTCGCCCCGCGCCAGGGCGGGAGGCAATTGAGCACCAGGTGCCGGATCCGGTTAATGACCCAGTGCGGTCGATGCGGGGCAGCAGGCGCTGCCACCATGGATAAATGTTCTGTCGTTGCCTGCCTTGGGTTTTCCCTGCAGCTCGTCTGCTCCTGTTACCCTCGCTTTCCCTGTACTCTCCCAGCGGCAGGGTCACAACGGCGGGTCATTGAAACTTGTTTGGCTGGACGGGAACTGAGCTGTGAACGCCTGTGTTGTTTTGCTGGCGAGGTCTGGCGGGCACGGGATAGCAAGAGGCCGACCTGCGGCCGCGTGCTCCCCCGCAGCGCCTGGCGAAGGGCCACCACAGAGCCGAAGGAGCAGGAGCGGGCGCGGGACCAGGGGCAGCTGCAAACGCAGCGAAACATCCAGACGGCGTCTTCTGCAGACGTGGGCATCCGTCAGCCAAGAGCTCGGCCGCGAGGGAGCCCGGCCGACCTCGCCACAGCACCCGTGGCACAGGGCCTCGCGCAGCCAGCCACAGGGAAAGAGGACCCACGAGCGAGAAACGCGCACACGCGCGCGCGCTTTCGCGTGGCGGCCCGCGACAAAGGCGGCCCCGATTCACAACCAGGACCGCCGGCTACCACACCACGCGCGCCTCATCCCGCCACCTCCAGCGACCACGCGCACCAGTAGCCGTGGCCAGCCTTCCAACGGAATCTTCTCACGCACGCCCTGACGGTCAGAAACGCAAAAAACTATCGTGTTCGATGTCTATCCTATTATATGCCTCTCTTGTTCCTCTCCCCCTCCCTCTCTCTCTCTCCTTATATTTCTCTTTCTCTCTTTCTCTTTCTCTCTTTCTCTCTCTCTCTCTCTCTCTCTCGCTCTCGCTCTCGCTCTCGCTCTCGGTCTCGGTCTCTCTCTCTCTCTCTCTCTCTGTGTCTCGCTCTCTCTCTCTCTTTCTCTCTCTCTCTCTCTCTCTCTTTCTTTCTCCCACAGATCCCTCTATTTCTGTGTAAAACGCACATCTACAAGTGCAGTCAACACGAACATCAAACCCATGCGCACATCTCTTCAGTCGCCAACGCCGAGACTGCAAGGGCCATACACACAGACCTGCGTGCAATCGCACCTGCTCGAATAGTCAGCAACGTTTGCGTCAGCGAGCCGCCGTGGTATTCGTGGCACTAAGCCGGCAGGTCAAACAGATCAGACGTTGTTGAGTCCACCACGGATGAGCAAACCGTAGGGCGAGGATAACAACGGCCTTAGCTGGACGCCAGCCGCAGCCAGGATAACGTCTGAAAACAGATCGTCGTTTGCGCCGACGCCAGGCCTCATCACCAGTTTCAGTGTTGCCGCGCCTCTTGCTGCTGAGTGGGCGAGGCCGCCACCCACGTGTGCACACGCGAGAGGGGCCGGCCACGCCACACGCTCGGGGAGCGTCCTGACCCCTGAACCGCCCGCCCTCTCCTGGTTTCCTTTCGGCCGCGTCCCTCCTCCGCCAACGGAACCCCGCTTGTGCTTCTCATCGCCAGCGCAGTCGCCCTCTGCCCAGTGAGCGTTTTCTTATTCGGCGTTTCGACAGTGGGCGGAAGGGGGCGGGGGGGGGGAGGGGGGGGCAAGGGCCCGAACCCCGTTTGTGCTTCTCGTCGCCAGCGCAGTCGCCCTCTGCCTAGTGAGCGTTTTCTTATTCGGCGTTTCGACAGTGGGCGGAAGGGGGCGGGAGGGGGGAGGGGGGGGCAAGGGCCCGCGCCGATCGGCGAAACAATGAGCACAAAAACGCTCGCCCAGCCGCCAACGAAAGCATGGTTTGCCGCGCCTCTTGCTGCCGAGTGGGCGAGGCCGTCGCCCGCGCGTGCTCTGTGCGAGGCCCCTGGCCTCCCTGCCAGGTGCCCCTTGTTCGCCCTTGTGCGCCTTGTGGAACCCTTGAAGAGGAGGAGGAGCGAGAGGAGGAGAGGGAGGAGGAGGAGGATGAGGAGGAGGAGGAGGAGGAGCGAGAGGAGGAGAGGGAGGAGGAGGAGGAGGAGGAGGAGGAGGAGGAGGAGGAGGAGGAGGGAGGCGGGGTGCGCCTTGTGGAACCCCCGCGCCAGCTGCAGTAGCACGGACACCAGCGCCGCCAGGCCCACAGCCGCCGCGGCGAGCGGCAGGCCGCGAGCCGCAAGCTCCACCGCATTCTTGCCGTCAACGGCGGTCGCCTGCGGAAAGTGCGGAGAGGAGGAGGCACCGGGAAGCAGATGCGGCGAGGGCGCAGCCTCGGGGCTCTGCATCGGCCCGTGCGGGCCGTGGCGCCGCCCTGCATCCTGTCTGGCCCTGCTCCACAAGTGGGCAACCTCAGGTGTCCCCCCAGTCGAAGCATCGACGCGCCTGTCGGGCCCCCCAGGTCCGCCCCCCCAAACAAAAAATCCCACCAGACCACAACACAAACATGAAATTAAACCTGCCCTCTGTGAGGGTCACATGTTGAGCTTCAGGATTGGACCAGGAAATTCAAGACCACGAACAGCGCAAAAGGAAACTTCGCTTCGGAAGCGCTGGCGGAGCAAACGCAACAGGCATAGAAAAAAACACAGGGGAAAACAACATGTCGAGCTGTATTGCTTCCAATAGGCGAACGCCATAGCAGGTGACGCTCTCCCACATTCAACAAGCATGGGGCACCAGAATTTGCGAACAAGAGGGCGGGGATACGTCTGTGGGTCTGAAGGATGTGGCCAGCAATCACACGATCGTCTTGGAAGCTCCCGGCCAAACGGCTACATTCCGCCGCGTCGCGTAGGACAGCCCTCGCCTTCGCGATCCTCCTCCCTTCATCCTCTTTCGGATACCACCTTCTTAACCCACGGTCTTAAGGCAACCCTTCACCTTTTTAACACACGTTCGTAAAGAAACCCCTCCTTGTTGCACCACCTTCTTAATACCACCTTCAAGTCAAATCCAGCCAAAAGATGCACATGAATGAACACGACAGGATATTGCCGACGCGGTCATGATTTATGTTTCCACTCCGACGCGTGGCTCCCATCGAACCCTGAGGCTTTCAGCTAACAGCACCGACTGCGCGTCGACACGCGAAACTGCTTGGGAAGACGACCGCACGCAGGGGCGAGGCCGGCAACGTAAGCCGAGGAAGTGTCCGCGCGGTCGGTTCGCGTCGTGTCGACCCCAGCGTGGGTGCCTGACACTACGGAGATCGTTCAACTTGAACGATCGTCCGTTTCCGAAACGTCGGATCGTCCAACATCGACCGATTCTGGGTCGCGGCGGTGTTCTGTTCAGCGTTGAATGCCAGCGGCGGGGTCGCCGCTGGCATTCAACGCTGCCACATGCCAATCGACACGACGCGAACCTATCGCAGTGTCCTTCGCTTGCTCATGTCGCAATTTCCAAGGACCAGCTGGACGTTGCGACGGTACTTCCCGTTCAAAGCGAAGCCTTGTCTGTCTATCTGCTCAGCCCCACCCACACCTCCCGAGCCGCATCTAAAACAGACCCCGTAGCATCAGGAACGCTACTAATCGCACGGCCACCAGAGTGAACAAAATCGGGCAACGACATCATCACACAACATGCCGTTGAAAGCGGCGTGCTACTGTAATCGTTCCCGCAACCTCTCGGCACTGGTCGTTCTACACCAAATGCCTAGCAGTGTGACAGATGAGCCCGTGAGCACAGCACGCGAGCCGACCCCAAAGGAGACATGCAAAACAACTAGAAACCTTCCACAAGAAATCCAACCCTGAGACCCTAAGACGTCCGTTGATATTTTGGTATGGGAACGTTACGCTTTCCATAGCAGAGCCATCGAAGCCCAAGAAACCAAGGGCACCCTGGAAGCAAGCAGGGCGTCTCTTGGCATGGGTTTCCACTGTATGCCTCGAAGCGGAAGCACCCCAGAGAGGTGACAAAGCGCGCCAGCAGCGCCAAGAAGCCGTGCAATAGTGTTCCCCGTGGCCACGGCAGCAGCCTGGTCGCGAGCATGCCTCTGCTTGCCAGATCGCCCACACGCGCATGACGGTCAAGCGTGCGCTGCTCAAGCACAGGGAAGACTGCATCAAGGTGCGCGCGTTCGCTTGCTCGATGGCGCTCAGATGTGCAGCGCATGCCAAAGACAGAGCGCATACACACGCACAGGAGCGCACAGACCCGCTACATGCTTGTTTTTCGTGCGCGCGCGAGACACATGCGCGCAAGCGCACGCACGCATCGCACGACAAATCGAAGTCGCGCGCGCGCGCAAGGGTGCACAATCACAGCACGTGAAAAGCTGTCTGCAGAAGCACATGGTCACGAGAAGCCTTCCGCACTCTCACACTGAAACGGGGCGATGAACAAAAGAATGGTCAGGCCTCAAAGGCTGGGTGGGCACGAAGCCCGCAGGCGGCGGCGTGAAGACATGGTCAAAGCACCTGCGCTTATCAATCGCGTTCCACGCCAGCCAGGGTCACAGCAGCTTGCTCAAGGTGAGAGCTCGCACATGGACCGCTGAGAAGAAACAAAACCACATCGAACTGATACTGCGCGGAAACACGCAACG